ATAGTAGCGCTAACACTTGACATCTCCCCCTCCCCCCCCCCCCCGCGCGCCTCGCCAAACCTGCGGTTACTCCGCGAGTGGGCTTGCGGCTCATCTTGGCCAACACAGGTGCAGACTAAGTGATGAAAGTTATAGAACACTCAGCCTGTGTTTTCGTTAGCCTCGAGTCGGTAGGCACCGGCCAGTCCATACAGATGAGTACACCAGGGTGTGTTGTAGGCCCCGATGTTTCAAGCAAATCTAGCCTCAGTGGGTATCCTATGAAACGGCAAAGCAAAAGTATACAGCCGCCAAGGGACCTTGAAAATGAGGCATGATGCAGACACCACACGCGGTGTGCAGTTGACAAAAGAAAAACGATTTGTCTGAAAACTGGTGTGTAAAACCAACAATAAAAAAGAGGTGGAGGTGAATCTTCCAGAAGCAAGTCCGCCGCCGGGACAATGGGATATGTGTCCCACAACGGTGCTACTCCTGGTGAAAGTGCCGGGCGTGCAACACACGACAAGCAAGGAAGAAAGTATTCCGAAGTACAAACTCAGGGACCCCCGAGTGTATTCACTGTTGGCGCAGTCAGAGGTGTAGTGTGTCAGCATACGCTGAAAATAAGCGTCTGATGTATAATTAAAATCACAACATCACATGCGCGCTTCACTTTTGCATTCACAGTACCATATATCCTTCCTCCTCCCCCGCGTGGCGTACTGCGGTATCCGAAGGAGTCTGTTATATTATCTTCCACCCCTGAGTAAGCTCAACTCCACTACAACAGGTGGGTGCTGAGCTGTGCTATGTGGTGGGGAAAGTGTCCCAAAGCAAACAACAAGGCTGTGCGATGGTGTGGAGAGCAAAAATGGAAAAAGAAGGAGTAATGATTCTAGGCCGCTCTTCAGGCCACAACGCGGATCAACTGTGCACCCCTCTTCCACCCCTCCGAGGCGAGACGCCAGAAGGAGCAAAGAAGGCGACAACGCGCGTGTGGGAGGAAAGCGGACACGCATATAAACACACATACGCACACAAACGCGTGGTTGGTG